TCGCTAGTAGGTGGTAGGTAGTATGCACAAGCAAAACAAAAGTGACAGCGCAGGCTGGAGGCCAGCGCTACAAGTTCTAAACAACAAGCAGGTACACATCAAGGCGTCCCTTGACGCTTCCCCTGTCACATCCCAGCTTCGTTGGGCCAGGTAGGATGCGACAGGCCTGGCCCCCCTGCTTAAAAAAAGAAAACATTCCAACAGGAACCTTTTGACTCAAAGGTTACACACACACACGAGTATCCAAATGCCAGTCGCACTCGGCCGAACAAAAAAGTTGAAACCACATCGGCAGATGGCAGGGAAGCCGAATCTGACAACACAGCGACAGGTAGGTGGGGGTCCTGTTGGTAAATTGATACAATTCCGTTTCCAGCATTGAGTGATCAATCATTGTACATTATATATTATTCCGCCCGAGGGCAAACCCCGTTCTTGGCAAAACAAACTCAAGGTAGCTCTTTTTTCAAGACTGTTCAAAATGGTTCAAAAGGACGTCTATACAGGTTCCGCGGCAGCGCCGGTCCTCTTTCTTTACGTACAAGCCCAGGCTGGAGTTTGCTCTTAAGAGATTGCCCATTGTGAGCTGGCCAGCTCGAGCACAGCCATCGGTCTGAAAAGGATAGGTGACATGCACCGTCCTGGTTTCACAAGTCACGGGGAGCATTGAAGCTCATTGTCACGTCTCGATCATTCTCATGCATAAACCAAACCATCCACTTTGCCTTCGTTACCTCTGACACCTGAGATGACCTCATCAATGCACAAATGTTCGGAACAGGCACCGTTTCTGCAAGAAGTACACCTCAGGCATGGAGACCAAGGACAGGCGCTGAAGGCTCGCGTCTCCAATTTGAACACATCTTTGGCACCTCAATGTTCCAGCTGCAGATCGAGTGAATGCGCCAAGAATCTTGCGGCAACCAGCGCTTGCAATTACAGTAAAACTATGTAAAACTAGCCTGAGCTTGGCACGTGAAGTTGGACATATATTGCCAGGAACCAAGCTCACCAATCCACTTACCACTGACACAAGTGAAGGTCGCATTTTGCCGAGGGCCTTCCCATTGAACGCCACCCCGAATCTTGGCAAACAACCTAGACGTATCATTGCAACTGGCTGATATCTGCGAAGCCGGAGAGAACGACTCGGGAAGCGGAACTTTTCTGAGGCCCGATTCGGCAAATGAGGTTGAAGCTTCCATGTATCGGCAGCGTGCGCAAGAACCATCTTGCTTTCCGAGAAGAAGTTGCAAAGCATCGCAAGCATCAGCCTGGTGATGGAACAGGCACGGCGGAATTTCTGATGGTTCCACGCTGAGCATGCTTCGACGCTTGATCTCTTCCCAGCATCTCTCCGGATTTGCGATGTGACAATAAGTAGAGTTACCACTCGGAGCCATTCCATACAACTCGTTCTCAATTTGTAAGCCAACGTCTTGTATGTAGTTGCACCTTTGGAACAGGGTGCATCTCTCGGAGGCCTTTCCAAACAAATAGAACCCGCATTGTGCTTTGGAGGCGCAGGCTCGCTGGCATCTTTCCAAGTCAATGTGAAATAGATCACCCAAAGAGGCCTGAGGGACAAAAGCATCCAGGAGTGCCGTATCACACCATCCAACGGACCCTCCTCGTACTGAAGAGGCATTGTTGATGACACGGATGCGATTCCCTCTAAGGCCCTGGCACTCTCCTCACAGGTATATGGCCCGGAGAACAACCGCTGGTCGGGAACCTGGGAGATAATTTTCGTGAGATCCGAACCTCCCTAATAGTCCTTGACGGGGGGAGCAAATTCGTTTGGGTGTTTAGCTGCTAATGTTGCGCGTGTGCCTCTCTGAGTTGGCTTTGTGGTGACCCGGACCGTCCAAGGCCTAGGGACCAAGCCAACATTGAACTTGCCGTCTGCTTTGCGGGGTACAGCTGCATTGGATTCAGCATCTACTGGCTCAACGTGTGCATGAGTTTCCCCGAAGCATTCGCAGGGGTGTAGTGAATAATAGTCGGGGACGCTGACGGTTCCAAAAAGCAAGTCTTCCGTTGGCTTTGAGCATGATGGCATCGCCAAAGACAAGCTCCCATTTTGAACGGCATCAGCTGGTGTATCAAGCTCTGCTGGGAGTAGTTGCAATTCAATGATCTCTTGGCCGTTTTTGAAAGCTTTGCCAACCACGTCCGGCTCTATGCAAGCCACGGGGTCCCCGAAGAACTCAGGAGCTTTGCTGGACTCTGCGTCCTCGAAGTCGGAATAATTGGTATGCAGAAGCAACCACGTCGACCTAACAAATGTTGTTCTTTTGTCACCCTGACGAACTATAGGGAAGTAGTGGAAAAAACAATTTGAAGAACCAGATAACCCCACATGCCAAGTTTTTCTTTGCATCAAAAAGCGGATGAAAACACGTGGATGTAAAAAGTGATAGCATATGAGGCGAGCCGGATTGGATGGCGTGATGCGAAAGGATGTGTGTGTGTGTGTGTCAACACCTGTTTGCAAGGATCTCACAACTAACTCATGACACTTGCAATCGGACTACTTTGTGATAGTCCCACTCGGTTCTGTTTTCATGCAGCACGGGGCACCTGGAGCGGAGATGGGGCAGGCGCCAACGAAGACACCTATCTCTTGCTCGTGATATCGACGGGAGACGTCCTGTCGACGTACCTGCGACCAATATTTGAACTGTTGAACAAGCTGTCTACTACGGTGTTTTGCAATAAGCCGCTAATGCACCACAACAACTTGTTAAACATCTTCAATTTTACGGACTTCCTCGCCTTTCGGTTCGCACTTTTCTTCCAGTCAAGGGGAACTTCATACTGATTCTAGCTCTTGCGAGCAACCATCTAAGTGTGTTTTCGCCACACGCAGGGTCCCACTGAGGGCTGTGGTGTGATCCCCGCCAAGGGGCGCAGCATGTGCATAGACCCAGATCCCCATATGGGATTGCTTCCACCTTGGCACTTCCTCTGATTGATTGCTTTGCGCGATACCACTGATCTACGCCGCAGGGCCTACTGTGATCAAAATCTCGGGAATATGTCACCATTGAAACATGCGTCTAAGTATTCACTTGTACAGTTCTCAGAAGAGGTCACCCTAGGCAGGATCCAGCATGATACTTCAGGCACGGCGTGAGGTCCATGCGCTGGCACCACTTTTCGTTCTGCGCATCCATCTTACGGCTACTACTGCGACGCCATGAACTACCAGTGGGTGTCTCAGCCCTCCCCTACACCAAGTGCGCCGACACCGTATGGTCCTATGTCGCGGTGGCACCATCGACTCCGTACGGCACAGTTCCCACCATGCAGATCCCACTGCCTCAGATCCAGCCAGTTCAGCCAGTTCTACCTTCCCCACAGTTTCAATACGCTCCCACTTTACATCCACCGACCTTGTCACCCCAGATGACTCACATGCCAAATACACACCTTGTTCAGATTCCTTCCACATTTCACACCCTACAGCCGTCCCACCAACCAGACCCAAGTCTTACTTGGAGTCCCCAAACCCTGATTGTCGCCCCGCAGTCCTATTGGCCAACTCACCCACCAGCGGTTGCGCCCGCTGCAACTCCCACCGAACATCCTCCATCCACATCCACACCCCTCCACCCCAGTCAACTCCCCGCTGCTGCTCCTCCACCCACATCATCCCCACCAGCAGACCCTGCCGGGCAGCCCCAAGCTCTTCCATTGAGCGCATCTCAAGATACAACCGCCACAGCAACTACCCACCACGACTCAAAAATCACACTTCCACCAACCCACCACCTGCAGCAACTACACCTGCTACACCTGCCGCCCCGGACGCCGCCGCCGCACGACCACCGCCACTCCATATCACAGTTCCTACACCGCATCCGCCACCCAAACAACCCTCACTCGCAGTTCCAACACCACCACTACCAAAAGCCACGGTCCGTCAAAGATCGACTACCACTACTACTACCACTACTTCTACCACCACTCCCAAGAGCTCGGCCGCCCCTGTCCCAAACAACATCCCCCCGCCCGCCCTCAGCCACCCGCGGGTCCACCGCCCAAACGCGGCGTTTGGGCTCCACCGCCTTTGACCAGTTTACAACAGCAGGGCTCGATCTCGCTCCCCTCACCGCTCCAACATTCGACTCACCCCCAACCCTCAGCATTCGGATGCCACGGCCTCCGGCTCCACCCCAGATTCCGCCAACACCCCACGCCCCAAGGGCATCCATGTTGCCACCAGCACACGCACCGAAGCCGCTCAGCCTCATCGACGGCCCCTCAATCCCTACACCAAAGCCGATCACGACAATGCCAGCCACACCCACGGCGCTGACACCTTCAACCGCATATACATCACCAATGCGATCCGCTCTCGGACCGCAATACCCCTATGCTGAACTATGTCGCCAAGGTTCTCACCAACGCTGGCATCCTTGCCAAGGACCTCCAGGATCTTGAGCAGTGGACCCATTCCGATTGGGACAATGACGCCAATGAATACGCCACCACGAAGTAAATTTCACTCTATATCCCTCGCCTCCAAGACCGAAATCGAATCGACCGCATTCCTCGTCGTCGCAACCAAACTAACACCCAACATGGCACTGTGCATGTGTTTGCAGGCCATGCTACGGAAGAGGGCAATTTACTCAATCTCCTTCAATCCGGACGCTTCAAACCCAGTACACAGCACTCCCCCCATGCACAAGGTTTCTATGCCCAAGGTTACGAAACCACGGGAAGATGATCTACGAGGCCTGGCACACAGCCCGAGTCATCGACAAGAACTGCCAGATGGCCAAGAACCGGGCAGGCATCATGCTTCATTGCATGGCGTGGGGAACCGGCAAGAAATTTACCCAAGGAGGTGAACCTGAAGGAGAACGCCTTCTAGCGGCAAACCATGGAGTTGTCAAGCATGACAAAGGCAAACGCTACATCATCCATCCGGACAACGTCGTGATCCGTAGGAATGCAACGCGACCCCACCACAGTCTTTTTTGTGTTGCACCCTTACTTATCGGTCGTTCTACATTCCCTCGGTTTTCCCATTCCCAGTCCCTCTCAATCCTCCCATCCCCATTCAGTTGCACCTCAGAAGAAAGATTTTATGACGACTACATCCTACTGCAGTTTTTGGATCCATTCCCAACCCCCTTGGGACGACTTTCGCTTTGCACGCCATGGTCACTCGCTCTACACTACCTGGCCCCAATCCTCAATGTGACCGCATTGCTCAATGTGTTTCCAATGTGGCCTCCACCTTACGGCTGCCCGCCTCTTCACTGGATGAGATTCACGACATCCTTCGCGGACAACCTCCGCCAGCTCCTACGATGGGCTATCCACCGGTTTTGCAGCAACCACTTGGCCTTCTGGCTCCCATGCAAACCACCAGTCACCCCACTCCACCTCCCACAGCGACCCACCACTTTCGTGGGAACCTTCAGACCAGTAGCTGCACCTTCACAACTTGGTGCTTCCACCAGCGACGATGAGCCACCCTTTCCAGATCCCTCCCATGTCCCCCACATTCCATCATCCTTGGATGACAGCGATTGCTCCTCGGCACCGGCCATACCTCCTCCACCCAAGCGACCTCGCACTCGCCGTTCCGCCAAAGCCAAGGCCAAATCCAGCCCATCAGCACCATCCGCCAAACGCCGCTCTCAACTTACCAGGAACTTCATGAAAACTGGGACTCTTGGGAACCATGGCAAGAAGAACAACTTGTCGACATGAAGACCAACGCCAAACTACGCCCCAGCTGGAACTTTATCGCCAAGAAGCTCCAATGTACACCCGCTCAGTGCAAGGCACGTTGGTCAGAGATTCTGTCACTTCAGAACGGCGGCCACACTGATGCACCACCGGCAGATCGCATCGACTCTGGAAGTCTTCTCGAAACACCCGCCCCACCATCACCGGCGACTCATCCCCTTGCCTCCATTCCTTCCGTGGACCAGAGCCACGCCGACGATCCGCCTCCAGTTCCTGAACATACGACTATGACCACTTCGGCAACCCCATCACTGGCACCGCCAACCTATGTGGAGCCACCTCACCCTGGTGAACCTGAAGTACTCACTATGCCTTCGACACCATCGACTACCAGTGCTCAGAACCCATGCTTCTTGTCCGCTCCTGCTCCGGATGCTCCGACCCGGTTGATTTTCACTTGTCTCACAATTTTGATCCTCAACGCTTGCTTCTCTCGCGGAAAAGAGCATCTGCGCGACCAACCGACATTTTCCCCCACGGCCCCTTCGGATTCCCTCCCGTGTCCCATATTACCTCAGCCATCTCGACATGTGGCGAATTACGTCCGTGATGTCGCAGTACCATGCGGCTTTGCGCGGCCTTGCTGGGAAGTATACGTTTGCGCGGCGCCGTGCCACTGAAAAGGGCGCGAAACATGCTTTAAACGCGGCGTGTCGCTGGTGAGCGGGATGATTGGCGGCATCGTGTGATAGGATTGCTTCTAGTGTGTGGGCAGAGCGTGTGGCGAAAGTACGTCCGTAAGATGCGGATTGGATGACAATTGGCGGTTTCGTGTGATAGGGTTGCGTCTAGTGTGTGGGCAGACCGTGTGGCGAATTACGTCCGTGATGTCGCAGCGCCGTGCGGATTTGCACGGCCTTGGTGGAAGGTGCGTTTGCGTGGCGCCGTGCCACTGGCGAGCGTGAAACACACTGGCGTAAAGGCGGCGTGTCGCTGGTGAGCGGGATGATTGGTATCGTGCGATAGGATTGCTTCTAGTGTATGGGCAGACCATGTGGCGAATTACGTCCGCGATGTCGCAGCACCGTGCGGATTTGCACGGCCTTGGTGGAAGGTGCGTTTGCGCGGCGCCGTGCCACTGGGAAGCGCGAAACGTGCTGGCGTAAACGCGGCGCGTCGCTGGTGAGCGGGATGATTGGCGGCATCGTGTGATAGGATTGTTTCTAGTGTGTGGGCAGAACACCGATCAGGGCCTGGCAGCCGCAGTGGTTGAAGGAGGGTTAGGCCGGTGTGGTGGGATGTGCTCAAGGACATGCAGGGGAGCGTGACTATACGTTGACGTTGCGCTGCCGTTGCATCTACGTCTACACCCCCTCACCTCTGTACATTTACATCTTCACACGCTCACATCCGCAAATCTACCTCTCTACCTCCACACACCCACACATCTGCACATCTATATCACATCTGTACATCCAGACCGTCACTCCTTCACATCCGCCCTCTCTTTCTTTCTTTCTTTCTTTCTTTCTTCTTTCTTTCTACATATCTTTTCTCTCACCTCTATACATTTACATCTTCACGCGCTCACATCTACAGATCTACCTCTCCACCGCCACACGTCTGCACATCTATATCGCACCTGCGCATCCACACTGTCACTCCTTCACATCCGCCCTCTCTTTCTCTCTTTCTGCATATCTTTTCTCTTCATATTTTAGATCTAATTTCGTCGCAACTTCTTACTCAATAACAGTTTGTATAAAGAAGTCATGGCTTTTGGACAACTCGGTTTTAAAAATTTCATGACTCGACAATGCTGGACAATCACCTGTCTCGCTCTCGGGCCAACCGTCGTCTAGTTTCATTCTTTCCCCTTCACACACTTCTGTTTCTTCTCTTTTCGTTTATGTCTTCCTGTCTTCATGTTCTGTCCTTTCATCGCTTTCCTTCCTTTGCGCGCACATGGCCTGGCCCTTAGTTTGTACATGCGCAACCTACTTTAAATTAGGTTTTGGGTTGCCCAGGTCTTTACAATGAGGTGGGTTCTCATCGGTTGTCCCTGTGCACTTGGTTCCCTTTCATTGCAGCCACACACACCTTTGTCCTGTCTTGTCTCCTCTTCATGTCTTCATTCTTTTTGTCTTCTGCGTACGCACTCACACTTTGGCCGTGACCTTAGTGCTTCTTGCCTCCCTTTGGGGGGGGCGTGTGTGTGTGTGACCTTTGGAATCACAAGGTTCCTTTTGAAGTATTTCGCTGTAGATTTGATTTTAAAGCAGGGGGCTCGTGGACGCACGGATGGCACGAGCCAACGAAGACCCATCCATGTCGTCGTGAAAACGTCCCTGCAATTTAATCGCTCCTGGGTCTGTGAGTGACAGCTGGAGGATCCCAAGCTTTGGTCCCTGCTTGTAACTAGTACAAGATCTTTCTTCTTGCTTCGGTTCTGCTGTCACGCAAAGGGCTTTGCTTTTGCTTTCTTGAGTTTTGGAGTTTGGCCACCTAACGACGAGAAATGATCAGGCCTCACCTTACCTGACCTTTCAGGAACTTGGTACACTAGGTTGCCGTGCGGCGAGCGGCATTCGAGTCAGTATGCATTTCAATAAGTGTGTGATGTTGGTGTTTTGAGGTAGGTAGGTGGTCGTGATGATGATGATGACGACGACGACGACGGTGATGGTAAATGAAGGTGATATCATGCTTGCAAGAGTTGGTTTATCTTAATTCTAATGCACGGGCTACTGACAAAGCTATGTGACCCCCTATAGGGGGCAGCGAAAGGCAAGACAGCGTCAAGTGAAATGAGTATGCCTGAAAATGCCCTTTACTTCAAACTGCTCATGTTGATCACTTTTGGTCGACCTTGGATAGAGAAGGAGTGTTGAAGAAGTTGAAGCAAAAGGGCAAGGTGTGTAGCCTGCTCACGCCTGCTCGCCTTGTGGTGGCCTTGGTTGTTCTTTTGGTGTATTTTGGGGCGGCCAGATCGTCTAAACTAGCAAAAGGCATAGTGTGGCTGAAGATAAAGCCACGCATGACCCCGGAACTGAGAGGCCCGCAATGTCCACGCTGGAGTCTCAACTTTTAATGTGTCTTCTCTGTTCATGGAGGTTTAGTATAAAGTGATATGGCTTGATAGCCAGCTGTCCAACCCACATTATTGACAATGAAATCTCCTGCTCAACCTACCCAGCAGGAATTGACACAACGAATGGACTGACGACTGGATTAAACAAAGACACCCGCTTTACCCAACCTGAGTTTCCCCATATAATGATGAAAAGTCGATCCTTGAAACACGTGTCTGATGCTGAAAAACCGGAAAAGGCTACGACCCCAGCAGGAACGCTGCCAAAAAATTACGATTTCTGCCTGGAGACTTGGCACAAGCCTCAGGGACCTGCTCTACATTCTCCCTTCGACTCAACAAAAGCTGCCGTTCTGGATTTGATCCCGGGCGAGAATATGATGCTCTGTCATGAAACATGTTCATCACCGAAAACTCCCCTGTCAAGTACTGTGCTCCAGGGACAGTCAGGTTGAGGCTGGCATCCTGTTCTGAACAGTTGTTGAAACGCACCTGCACCGGAGCGTCCACCAAGCTCTCATCGCCATCACTCACCATGATGTTGCACGTCCCGCTTTCATTGTGGTGCACAGCAGCGCAATCATCTCGGCGACGGCACTCTTGCTTGCACGCGCTTAAAGAAATATTCTTCAGCGTCGTCCAACGGAATGACCCCGAAATTTCTCTAGGAACCCAGCCTTAGAAGCCGCTGACAAGAGGGTCTTTCTTTTGGACGTCAATCAGGGAGCGGAGGTTCTGGAATACAGAACTGTAGAATTGTAAATGCGCAAAACACTCACACCAAACCTTTACAGGATAGGCCAACTTTGACTGGGTCGTCGGACAAACATCATTCAACACCTGGACGTTGAGGATTGCCACCGGCAGCTCCTTGTCATAGATTTGGCCTGCTTGCGTCACCCACCGTCAAATGACCACTTTGAGACTTTGCGTGTTTAATCTCTGCTTATTTTTTCACATGATGCAGCTGGAGTCTGCTGCTACCATGTTTAGGTAGTCTTAGTAGAAAGGGAAATAGAGAGGGCTGGAGGGAGAACAGTTGGTTGGGCGCTATTCCAGTTTGCTCAAGACATTGCTTGCTTGGAGATTTGCAGTCTTTGGCAACAATTTAGATGTTGAATGTTGAAGCTACCCGAATCTGAAAGGACTCTAAGTGCACTGCGGTATGGAGTACCATTGGCTCAAGAGGATCGCTATATAGAACTGCGCCCACGCATATCTTGGCTGCCAGATGTTAACCCCTATTGCAAACGACTCTGAGCACTGCCGTCTAGCAAAGAAACTTGTTTACGGCAACGTCGTCGTTAGCGGCTGTGGGTATTTTGCTACTTTTTGCTAATTTTCGCTCGTTTTTGTAAACTTTCGGTGCCGGGTGGCGTTTAAGGGTGTTTTGCGTGTTTCCAGTGAGGTGCCCTTTTTTTGGGGGGGGTTTGGGTTACGAGGTTGCGTTTAGGGTGGACTTGCATGTTTCCAGTGAGGTTCCCTTGTTTTGTGGGGGGTTTTGGTTTACGAGGTTGCGTTTAGGGGTGGTTTGCGGGGTTTCAGTGACGTTCGGTCGGAGGGGGTCGGCGTCTACTTTGCCCTTCGGTCGCAGCGTTCACTTCTTCGCGCGCAGCTTTCACTTCAAGCTTACCGAACCGCCATGCTGACGACTGTGGAGTTCTTTGAGTTCTTCTTGCTGCTACTGGGCTTTGCGTCAGCTACAAGGTGTGCCGTGGGATTACTTGCTCAATGAGTTGGTGTTCTTGCGTCAACTGACTCCGCTGCTGGTGATGGGTCGGTTTGAGCTGTACGAGACGTGCGCATGGTGTTTGCCCCTCGACTCTACGACCCGGTCGTGGCTTCGACTCTACTTCTCACAGAGGGCCGCAGGGAAGTACCCTTCTCCTGCTTGTCTGTGCAGACGCTTCGGTTCAGAGGTCAGCCTGGTGGTTGTATCTTCACAAGGCTTTTCGACTTCCGAGAGGCCTAGAAAGGTCGACAGGAGCTGACCACAGTCAAGCTCAGTGAGCAAGTCGAAATGGATGCTACGAGTATTTGCAGGTTTCACATCTCCAGGAAAAATGAAGCTTGGCAAGCTGCCATTGCCATGTGGCAACAACGTCACGCAGACGAATCCTCTGCGAAGTTCTTCGATGCGCGCGCGCGAATTGGTGGGGCGGCGCAAAGAGGGCAGATCCTCGTGGCTCCGCTGCCTTGCGTGTTGTTGCAATGACACCTGGATCCAGACCTCCAACTGAGAGCAATGAAGATGTTGCTAGTACAGGCTTGTTGGACAGTCTCGATGAAGACCTCGAGACCATAGTGTATGCGGACGGCTGTCGCGCCCGGCGCAAAGCTGCTGACGATGCTGGGTTTGATTTGCAAGAAGTCAACCATTCCTTGAAGCAATTCGCGCGCCCGTTTCGCCGGCGTCGCAAAGCGCACATGGCTGGCGCACAGGCGCTGGATTCCTTGTGGAGACGACTTGAAGGTGTCATATACCAAAAGAGATAGCCACAAAACATGTCAAGAGTCGTCTTGTGAATCCAGATATACATAACTGGGTTTTCTCGCGGCAGCGGCGGCGCAATGCCAAGATCCGCTGTCCGGACCTTTGGGACGCAGTCCCGGAACTTTACTTTTCCGTTGAGCCAACCAGCCAACACACTGCACCAGAACTGCAGAGAAAGATGGGCCGCGAGAAATGCAGACGTAGTTGCTCTGTATAGTCTTGGATAGTTGGTTCCGGGATTGGCGGCCAGGGTGAGGTGTGCTGCCGGTATACTGCGAGTGTGTCGGCCCACGCCGGGTCATATTTAACTGGATGATGGAACCAGAAGTCTCTTGTGGCAAGCATTTCTTCATCATACTCCAAGGCAGTGCGACATTCCTGGCCATTGCTTTGGAGTAGCGGCCCGTGGTAGAAAGTCCCTCGAGGGCAGATAGTCTTTAAGCGGTCCCAGAAAAGGCGCTGCCTTCTGGCCCTTCTAATTGGGTCGGTTTGCTCTTGGCCAAAGGGAAGTGTGATGACAGCTGCTGTTGCAACTTCTGCTGCTTGTAGTGCCGTGGCAACAATTGTGGCCGGTACAAGGTAAGAATTCTGTTGCGTCGACCACTCTTGCAATAAATCATGGTATCCACTTTGCTCATAGAGAAGTTGGAGCTCAGTTTTTGCAAGATGTATAAGTGTTTGACCTTGGCCCACCTCTTCAGAGGAGAGAGTTGCTTAAAGGCACTAGAGGAGCTTCGCCACCAGCTCCAGATTAAGGCGCGGAAGTGCACCGATATGGGAGTGGAGGCAGGACAAGTTTCTCGGGCTAATGAGTTTCGTCGCCGGAGGAGATGCAGTGCCTTTTGTCGTTATTCCTCCTTTGGGTCCGTCGATGAGGCAGTGGGGTCTAAAAAGACTCTGGCGGGAATAGTCTGATGTTTTTCAGACTGGGGATGCGGACTTAGTCTTGGCTTCATGGTCAAGAAAACTGCAACGACCTTGTGATGACAAGTAGCTACTCGATACCTGCCTCTGATGCGAGCATGTAGCTGCGCCGTATCCAGAAAAAGACTAGGAACTAGGAATCGATCAAGGGATGACTCTTGATCTCCGTGACGGAATGTAGGATAGTCAGGATCAACATCAGTAGATCCTAGTTGTGCCAAGAAGTCATCCCATATTTGAAGATGGTGCTGATCACAACGATTAAAGTCACCACCTATGAAGATAGGATGGGCCAAATCGAACATGCCTGGTAACTGACACAGGCTGCAATCGCATAGTGAATTGCAAGAGTCTTTTCTGCAGCAAGGACCCATCCTGGGGGGAGGAGGATTGCCACTCCCGCCTGCGGATGTGGATCATGCTTAGCAAGGGTGGCAGCAATTTTGACAACCGGCCATGAATGTGCAAGGTACTGCAGTTGAGCTGGGCTCCACTTTGTCTCTTGCAGTAAAACTGGAGCAGTTTTAAGAAGAGTGCGGATAATCCATGATTGTGAGCATTAGTAGGTAGTTCTGGGTGCCAGCTATTAAGGTTCCATGTATGGACGTTGCGTGCGAAAGGCAAGGATTTTTGACAAAGCTGCCAAAATTGTGGAGGCACTACACGGAGCGAATGCATTTCATTTGGTAATACCACCGGATAATATTCATCTTCTCGTATAACTGGTACCTCACGCTTGAAGGGCATTCATTGCTTCGTGAAGGTCAATTGCACTGTCAAAGCCGCAAAGTGAGAGGAGGTCATCTACATGCAGCCGTCGATAAGCTGTACGAGGATGAACGAAGTGGATTAAAAAGTGAAGCGATGAGACATGAGTGAGGGATTTGCCACAGTTCTCTTGCGTAGTATGCCAATAAACAGCACGGAGTCCAGCCGAGAGGGTACGTTGCGCAATACGGAGGGTTTTGAGCGGGAGGCGATGAAGCACCGTCATACGACAGAGATGAGAGCTTGAGCTCTCTGGAAAACTAAACGAGCAGCTTCTCCGTAAATGCAAACGTACCAACCATTCTCGACTCTGGCTTGCTGGCATAAATCTATACAGGTGTGAAGGTAAAGTTGTTTGGCAGCCGCAAGGACAACATCGACCTCAGGAAGTCTGTACTCTTGGAAGTGTTCATTTGCCGCTACAGTGACAATTTGATTGTACTCATGCTCGTCATAAGTAGCAACTGCCTGACAGACAAAGAGGATACAGTATTCGAAAGGGACACTTGCTCCCCAGATAGTTGGCTGCTCTTGTGGATGGAGCGCGCGGGCGCCCAAGGGACAGATGCTGAGGCATCCGCCCTTGATGCGCCCTTCAATGATAATGAGAGGAAGTTGACAGAGAACATGATGGCAATCATTGACAATCGGATATTGTTGGAACGTATCGGCTCTAGCAGAAGCGCTTTGCGCAAGCCTCCAGAGAGCACAGCCGGGCTCACTGAAAGTACGCAGAAAGGGAAGTTCCGCAATGAAAGCGGTGGGACCTTGCTGTAAAGCAAAACCAACGACGCTTGAGACCGCTGCAACTACAACAACAGTGCAATTGCTAAACATAGAAGAGTGTTCATTGCTACGTGTCGCAGGTGGACAGATATTGACAGACTGTCCTCCATAATTGAATAGCATAAGATTTAAGGTGTCATCCAGTCCTAACAAATAGATGTGCTCGACTGCAGCAGGACCGATGTAGTGGATGTGTACTGGCATGCGTTTGTACCATATGATGAAGAAGCCAGTGCGCCCATCTGAAAAAGCGCCAACAACACACCGCAAGAATAGAACAAGGCTAGAAAATGATTTGTTGAGCAGAAGACCTTGATGATAGCTTGTAGCAGTGGAGCTTTGGCCGAATGGGCAATTGCATTGGCAACATCCTCATTGAACATAAGTCATTGCGGGACTGCAGTGTCGTCGACTATATCAGCTAAACCAACATCAGAAAGAAATTGACGAAAGGGAGGGCTGCCTATAGCTCGTAGACGGGTGTCAGCTTCTCGCTTCAGGTCATTTCGAAAAGCATCTTTGGTCTTTGGTAAGATAAGGTGGTGGCAAGTTGCCTATTGTGGGTTGTGCGACTTGTGGTGCATCAATAGGTGACATAACCAGAGCTCGGAAGTCATGATGTCGGTACGGTTCTTGAACAAGTGTGGAGGTTGGGGTATATTTGCGTTTGGCAAATTCTCGCTCAATAGCTTGTTTAAGCAAAAGATAGTTTTTTCTCACTGTGATCGGGTCAACAATGTTGGCGGTACTAGGACGCAGGCCTTTGACCCAAGCTTGCATGTCAGTTGGTGTACCCAAAGCAATGCTGATTAATTTGGGGTGAAAGGAGTTCCCAACGAAAGAGCGAATCGTTTGCGAGTTTTGGTCCGTGAGAAAACGAAACGGTAAATCGATGCTTTTATTGTGGAAGAGCGG